TGCCTGAGCATGGAGCCAAAGGGGAGCAGAGCTAAGAGACGGGGATAGGCAGGACTTGAGCACATCACCTGCACCCCTGAGGCCAGTACTAATCCTGGACTTTTCAGTTTTGTGAGTCAAGAAATTTCTGTTTTGTTCAACATAGCTTGCGTCAAGTTTTTGTGATTTGCAATCAAGAGTCTTGACAGGGCATTTCTTGCCTCTTGGGCCCCTCACATTGCTTCAGTTTAGATTAGCAAATAGGACCAGGAATATCTGCATGGAACCAGTTCACCCCCCTACTCAACCCAGGATTCCCCTGAACTGAAGAACACTCCATTCTGGGTTTTGCCACGTGAGTGGCCAATTACAGACCAATGTAGGTGAAAGTTTGCTTTTATCTGTCGCTTCTTTGGTTTACAAAATCATGAAAAAAGGTTTTCTTACATTGGACCCAAACCTACGCCTGTGTACCTGCTATGGGCACTTCATTTGTGGGACAAGGTAGATGGAGCCTGCTCCCCAGATTGCATCTCAGGTCCACATCCCTCCCCCCATCTCTGGACAGGAACCCTTTCTTGTGCAACTCAAGTTCCTACCGAAAATCATAAATTATTACTTTGAGGCTTGACTCTTCTATCACTGATTATTTTTTTATTGTTTTGATTCCTTCTGGCCCTGACTTTAATAATGTAGGATAATAATGTTTAATAATGTTTCTTGTTTTCCCATCTCTTTGCTCACAGTTCCTACTGCTGACAACCACCACGGGCGATGCCCTTATGTCTGAGTGTATCAGTAACCTAGCATGTTCTTTTCTGTCTCCTCTCTCATTCCACAATGCATTGTGGGTCATACCTCTTCATACCTAGAGGTATGACCCAAACCCTAGTTATCCCTCTGTTGCTTACTAATTTAACAAGCTTTGACAGTCAGGGCCCTGTGTGCTTGTCCACCCCCCTTCCCTCCCTGACACTTCTAATCCTACCTCCCACTTTGCCCCAATCTGTTCCCCTCTAACCAGAGTCCTTTGCCTGGCCTGGGCTTGCTGATCACTGTCTTGTGGACACGCCTCTTGTGGTCTTGCCCTATGGCTTTTGCTGTCTTCATTTTGCTTCCACTCATTGATGACAGCCTGGTCTTTCAAACCTAAATCAGATCCTTGCCTCACTAGTTTAGAATGACCCCTGATGTGCCCACTGCAAATACCACTTAGCTGGCTTTAGTTATATACTAGTTTCCATCAGAATTTAAATTGTTAACTCTGTGAGTCTTTTTAAATAGATTGCAAAGATACAAGGGATTGAGTACAGCATTCATTCTCATCACTGTCTCTCATGAATAAATAAATAAAATTAAAAAAAAAATAAAAACACCATGAAAAGAATTTTAGATAGCCAGATGTTTATCCTCAATGAAAGGGAGACAGACTTTCTTACAAGTTTTTCATATAACTCAGGTCTTCATGGTCTTTTATTTTTTTTAATTTAAAAATTATTTATTTATTTATTCATGAGAGATACACAGAAAGAGAGAGAGAAAAGCAGAGACACAGGCAGAGGGAGAAGCAGGCTCCATGCAGGGAGCCTGATGTGGGACTCAATCCTGGGACACTGGGATCACGCCCTGAGCCAAAGGCAGACGCTCAATTGCTCAGCTACCCAGGCATCCCTTTTCTTGGTCTTTTAAAAATGGTTTTTCTTCACTATTGCTGAAAATTTCCAGTTCAAGCTCAGAAATAACATTATAGAGATTTACGTCTTCCAACCTCAACCTCAGTGGTGACGTGGGTACGTAGCTGGGTGTTAGACAGTTAGTTATTGCCAAACAACTTGAAGGAGAAGGTCTGCCTGTAAGTGAGCTGGTGGATGTTTTCCCACGTTTTAGTTCACCAAAGGGTAGACTCCTTCCCCATCCCTGGGGGCACAGATGCAGCTGTTGATGGAATGTCCTGAGAGTCCTACCTGAGGAAGAGGAGATAAATAGGGTTCCAGCACAGAGACAACAGCATGTGATGAGAAAACAGATTGAAGGCTAATACCCTGAACCTCTATGTGCCCGAGTTTCAGAGGCAAACTATTTCCATGCTTTTATTGAGACTGACATCATGTTAGGACATTAAGTAACTACCGAATTCAGAGTAGGGAGAGCAAATAATGTTCACCCCAAGGATCAGTTATATATGGTTGGAGGGGCTAGGTTAGGAAGATGCCCCTAAAGGAGTATCCTGAATGATTAGCCATCCCTTCCTCGGGCTGAGGAAACAATGAGTAGCTGCCTGCCTTATACTGGTCAGTGCTAATTCAGAGTCATCAATAAGGATCTCCTTAACGCAATCTATCAGAAACCCCCCTAACTCCCGAGGCACCATTCAAGCACCCCTCCACCTTGAGCTTGTCCTGCAGTCTCCCAGTATTCTCTCCCACTTTTTTTTTTTAAACATAAGCTCTAAGCCCAATGTGGAATTCAGACTCATGACTCTGAGATCAAGAATATATGGTCTACTGACTGAGCCAGCCAAGAGGTTGCTAGAAGCTTCTTCTAAACCTGTGATGCTTTTTAAATGTGACTGCTATAGTCACAGGCATATACCACCACTGTTCCCATACAAGACTTTTTTTTTTTTATAAGTAATCTCTATTCCCAATGTGGGGCTTGAACTCACAACCTCGAGATCAAGAGTTGCATGCTCTACCAACTGAGCCAGCCAGGTGCCCCTTCTCACATCTTAATTCAGTGATTATGTTTGTACCACACATTAGTACTTAACATATGCGTGGGATTACTGTCTGCTATTTATCACCGCATATGTCTGGAGAGGCCAGAATCCCATTATGACGGGATCAAACCATTGCTATGATGAATCCAGTGGGCACGGAGGTGTGATTATAGTGAATGGAGTTAGAAATTGTAGGGCACAGTTATGGAATTCGCAGCCCCTGGCCCATTAGCAGCATGAGGGGAGATGCACTCCTTCTGCTACCCTCCCCTGACTCTTCTGTACGTGCCCTGGAGGCAGTGCAGGACAAGAACAGGCTGAGCTTTATCTGGGGCACAGGGGCCTCTCTGAGATAGAGAACGGTTCTGAGGAGGTCCGTGGAGCCAGGAGAGCCTCAAGGAGAAATATGTTAAATGTGTGTGTAGGCTTTGGACAGAGGGACCTGTGCTATCTGAAAACCACATGGGTGGCAAAGAGCATTTCAGTGTCGAAGTACAATGGCAGATTCCTCTGCTTCTTCCCTATAAAAACTCTGACTTTATCCAAGTGTCAGAGGCCCCCTGGGGAGCTTGGGCCCCTTCCCAAGCCCAGGGTTACTCTTCTTTAGTCAGAAGAGCCAATCATTGTAGCTTTCTTCTTGGGCATGATGAGCTCAGGCATGAGCACACAGTGCAGTTCTGGCCAATATGCTGCAAGGAGAGGCTGCTGGGTGTCTTCTGACACAGGTTGTAGTCATTCCTAAGAAGGGCCACATGAGGTGAAATGTCCTTTCTTTCTCTTTTGGACGTTGCCGTTTGAGGACACGACCCTTGGAGCCACCATAGCTATCTTTCAAACCTAAGGGGACGTGTTTGAGGTCATCTCGAGGACAGCCAGGGGAGAGATGGAAAAAACCTGGGTCCTTGATGACTTTGTGGAATCCTGAGTGAATGCTGGAGAGTCCCCATATCCATGCTTCTTTTACTGTGCTTCATCAATTTCAATATAAGTCTGACATGGTCATATTTGAATGTCCCTAAAATTAGGATGCATTGGTTTTTTAAAAAGATTTTAAAAATTTATTCATGAGAGACACAGAGAGGCAGAGACATAGGTCGAGGGAGAAGCAGGCTCCCTGTGGGGAGCCCAATGCGGGACTCGATCCCAGGACCCCAGGATCATGCCCTGAGCCAATGGTAGATGCTCAACCACAGACCACCCAGGCACCCCAGGATGCATGTTTTAGGGCACGTCATGGTTGAATTGGCAGCATTTCTTCTTTTCTGAGTGGAACTTAAAATAATCGTGTGTTTTACAAAAGACTGCCTCTAAGATTTGATGAGATGTGTGTGGATTGTTCTTCCTGCCGCCCATCTTAGAGTATGTTCCTTGTTACTTTCCTCCAGAAGAATCCTGGCTGCGATGCTGCTCTTCTGGGGAGGCCAAGGGTGGGCTGGGTGCTGGGGAGGGGAGCAGCACAGCTGTGAGGAGCCTTCCCCGAGGCTCTGAGTGAGCCTGGGTGCTCTGTACCTCCCAGGAAGCAGACACTGCTCTTCTTGGCACTGGGAGCAAACGACCTCCACAGGACCCTGCCTCTCCCTGTACCCTCCGCACTCTATAGCTGGTGCAAGCTGTGGAGCAGCCTTTCCTACAGGGAGGGCTCTCACTGGTAGTGACAACAGTCTCGGGCTTTCTGAAGTCTAGAAGCCAGGTGCACTCGGCTAGAGGGTGAGTACAGTCTGCAGAAGAGGATGAGACGTAGATCGCAGGGACTGAACCCAGGGAAATGCTCAGCCCCCTTACCTCAGGCTTACCATGTTGTCTCAGAATTGCAGGCCACCCCCACTCCCTGGCCACCTCTTACCCCTTTCCCAAAGCTGGGGGGAGGTGGCCTCATCCCCAAGGGAGCTCTGCCCTCCACAGTCCCTAGTTGGGGGGACTGGGTACCTCTGAACCTTGAGATGTCCCTGCACTTGGGATTGCATCTCTCTCATAGACAACTTAAAATACAAGATCAGCATAAACCCCGAGTCAGCAGGGACCCCACAGCCCAGAGGGCTGACTGTGGAACGGACTCTGTGCTGCACCCCCTCGCTCGGCAGGCCAGTCCCTCCACACTGGTCTTCCTTGCCTTGATGAACCACGGGAGGAGCGGGCAGTGAAGGGGTGCGGGATCCCCGCTGGCCCTGGCCACACAGCCCCAGATCCGTGGGCGGAGTCCGCACAGACCAGGTTTTGCTTTCTCACTTGCCCTCACATAGAAGTCCGGGTACAGGTTCTGGGGCGGCGCTGGGCGGGGCTTCGGGCAGCTGAGGTCACTCACCCATGTAGAAATACTCTGGGGACTTGTCTTCTGATGAGAAGCCCTTCATGGTGCCTCCAAACCGAAACCAGAGTCCAAAGCCAATGACAGCCGACCCTGCCAGCTGGAAGGGAAACAACATGGTTTTCAAGGGGTGGAAAGGTGCAGTGTTCGCATGAGCCAGGGGTGGGTGGGGGACCCCAAGTGCTGGGGTTGGGAGAGGGCATCTCTTTAGAAATCAGCCTGTCTGCCCTTCACGTTTCTTGGGGGAGGAGAAATGATGGGCTCCAAGCCCCCCAGGTCCCCAATGTGATATCAGAACTGGGGGTTCCTGATTCCAAGGTGAGTTTGTCCTGTTCTGCTGGGACTGTCTTGTGGTTGCCAGGTATGGACAGCATGGCCTGGGAGGCATCTCAGAAAGAATGTTCTAATAATAGTCCCCCTGGAAGGGATTTGCCCCCTGCCACGCTGTCCCTTGCTGGGCACTCTGGACCTCCTCACCAACATCACAGTCAGAGGGGACTATGTTTCCACCTCCAGTCACCAACAGCAAGATGAATCCTAAGACCTGAGGGGGAACCCACTTTTCTAAATTGGAAGAAAACACACAAACTTCAGAACCGCCCACACCTCCTGAGTGTGCAGGGCCAGTTAGAAAGCTGTCTCAGAGATATCTAGAACCCTTTCTCCCCGGGACCTCCGTGGTCATTGTACTGCCCAGGGATGGTTTTGCCAGGCATTGAAGGAACTCGCCTTTTGTTTTGTTTTGTTTTCTTTTGGGTCTTTTTTTTTTTTTTGGTTGCTATTTTGAGTTTCCATGGAAAGTGAGAAGGGAAAAAATAATTTTCTGAAAAAGCATGGTCTGTGTGCTGTGTGGCTCTTGGTGAGGCTGTGTGGCTGGCGCAGGCAGCAGTTGGGCAGGCTGGCGGCTGGTGGAATCATTGCCTGCTTCCTTCAGGCCACTCTGAGGGCTTTTGTGAGGCTCCTTGTCAATGCTGGGAGGCTTTCCTACCATTTCAGAACTGTCACAATGGCCTGCCAGCAGGCTCCTGCCACAGGCACCCATCTGGAATTACATCATATCAATCAATCAACAGATATTTCTCGGGCACCTTCTGGACTCGGGGAAATAAGTAGATGTAAAGCTTGCCTTCTGGTTCTGTCAACCCATCTAGTTAGTGTGTGTGTTGGGGGGGTGGGTGGCTAGAACAGATGAACAGCTTAGAGGCTGCTTCTGCCCCAACAGAGAAGAGCAGACACAGATGCTGGCAACAGGACAGGATGCAGAGAAGTAGAGCTTTAATAAGGAAAATGGTATCAAGGTCAGGGTTGGACCAGAGCCCTTTGTCCGCAGGGTCCCTCTGTCTGCAGGGCTTATATCCCAAGGACCTGGTGCTACCCTTTGGGGCTCTCAGTCTGGACTCATAGAAAGATTCAGTCCTTCTCTTCTTTCCACTCCAAGCTGTTTCGCTCTGTGGCCCCCTTCTTCAGAAAAGCAGCGTGACTTCAGTGAGGAGTCGGAGGGGCTAGAGCTCTACCAGCTGGACTCTCTCATGTGGAATAAGTAAGAGTTTCCAGTACTCAGAGGAAAGCACTAATTGGATAATGTGAGGGGCAGCTAAAGGAGCTGGACTCCATCAGCTTTAGAAGAGTTTTGCATTTTTAAAAGGGTGGCATGGCATGGAAAATATGGAAAGAAGTCATGCTAAAACAGTCACAGTATTTATCTTTGAAGGTGGATTAGAGGTGGCTTTTTTTCTTTTCATGCTATCTTTTAACTTGTCTGCAGTAAGCTTATATTACTCTTATAAATTTCAAAATGCTGTTTTTTGGATGCATTCGATGGTAGTTTATCTGCTCAATCCAGAAAAAGTGAGGAGGGTTTTCTTGGGCCACGCTCTAGTTTGGGAGGAAATCAGCTTTGAGGTCACTGCTGTTCTGGTGCAGGAAAGAGTGATGCCCTCGGGAAGGCACTGTCCTAAAAGCTCCCCGACGCTGCCTGCCTGGGACAGATGTGCCTAGCAAAGCCTCACAGGCCACCTTACCCATCTTGCCTCTGTGGTGACTTGATGGAAAGACAGTTTCCAAATACAAAGCAAAATCTATTGACAGAGGCATCAGGCCAAGGCATGTAGCCACTAAGCAGACTGTGGAGGAGGTGACTGGTCCCAGGGACACCCTACCACGCGGCCACATTTTTGGCATGTCTGTACACAGACTCTAATTTATTGCTGTCTGGGATCATCCTCCCAGACGGAATACATTTGTCCACTTCTGGCACAGATGTATTGGATGCATAATGGAAAATTAAAAGAGAGGTTGCAATTTCAAGCCACGGGGCAACAAGAAAAAAAAAAATCTGCGCTTGCTCATCCACAGCCCCAACCCCAAACCACACGGGTTTCCTCCCAGGGTGAGGAAACTGTGGCTTAACTGAATGTCATCACTGTGTGCAGGGAATCCTCCCAGCACAGCCACTGGCCATGTCAGGAATATGTGGGTGAGGACCCATCAGGCCCAAGGTTGCTCATGACAACAGTGATCACTGCTTTGGAAAGTGGGATCAACAGAGACCACGTAGCCTGTTGGTCCTTTTGAACTCACCACTCCCATGAGGCTCCTGTTATACTCTGGTCACTGGACTCAGGCTGATACCTCACCCTCAAAATGGAACTGAATTGAAAAAATTCACCCCAGTTCCAAACCAGCCAGGAGCAAACCTGGGAAAGAGACATCTCACTAAATGATGTGTGTGTGTGTGGGGGGGGGGGGGGCCTTCAGGCCCAAGAATCCTAAATTTTAATCCCTTCTAGACCCAACCCCCTCCCTCATCACCCCATTCTTTCTTCTCTTCTGAATCTCAGCCACAACACTGCATGTCAGCCAATATTAGACAAGTAAGGAACAAGAGGCTGCCCCTTCCCTTGCCCCTAATCTCATCTCCTTCCTCTCCCTCCCAGTTTTTTAAGGAATCCACTGCAGTCTGGGTCAGGGGCATGCTAGGCTTTAGGGAATCAATGATGAAAGACAGGATTCGTAGTCTCACATGGGAGATAATCCCGTAAGTGGGTACATGCAATATAATACAGGAAGTGTGCTCAGTGGAAGAGCTTGGGGTGCAGAGCAAAGCGTGACAACTGGTGTTCAGTAGAAGACATTCTGTTTTGGTTTACACCCTGAAGAATGAGTTTGAAGTCCCCAATCAGGGGAGGACTGGAGGGATGAGCAAACACCAGGCAGAGGGAACAGCATGGGTAAGGCTTTGCTTCCTTACCTGGAGCCTTTGATGGGTACAGAGAGGAATCCAGGACTGGAAAGGCAAGTTGGGAAAGACCATGCATGGCCCACGGCTTCTACTTAGCTTGTTATCATCTTGGAAAGCCTATGGTAGGGCCTTGAGGGTAGGGGAGATGGGAGCAACTCATTTTGATGGGAACAATCAGGAGCATGAGGGTTCCCTGATGCCAGACAGTGAGGAGCCAGAGATAAAGACCCGATGGCTGAAGGCGAGAGTGGGGATGCTGGGGAGTGGATGTGGTGAGCAGTGAGACCATGAAGGAGCCACCCTAACAACTCAAGAACTTTGCTGAGAGCTGCTCTGCTTCTAGGACTAGTACCAATCCCCTGCCCTTGGAATAATTATCACTAGAAATGTTGCTTTTCCAGGAACAGACTTTTTTTTTAAGATTTTATTTATTTATTCATAAGAAATACACAGAGAGAGGCAGAGACACAGGCAGAGAGAAGCAGGCTCTCTGTGGGGGGCTCAATGCAGGACTCAATCCCAGGACCCTGGGATCACAACCTGAGCTGAAGGCAGAGGCTCAACCACTAAGCCACCAAAGGTGCCCCAGGAATGGACTTTTTTGTACAATAGCATGAGTGGGATTTTGATGCTAGTCACATTTATTGAGCATCTATTGTGAGCAGAAGCCAAGGATTCATAGGAAAGGAAGATCCAGCTCCTTCTCAGGAGGGTCTCAGGGGCTGGTGAGGAAGCTGATTCCCACTAGGTGGTCCAGGAGGGACACTAATCTTGCAGGTAAGAATTCAATCACAGAACCAGGCCACGAGAAGATGCCAGATATCATCATTCTTTGTGTCACATTTGTTTTCTGAGTACCACTCGTGCATCAGGAATTCAGAGAATGTGATGAAACAGGACTTTGAGGGCAAAAATGTGCCCATTATTTAAAAGGAAATAAAATAGAAAAAAAGAGGTAGCAGTGAAAGGAACAGTGACATATCAATCCACATCATTAAATAGTGGGTCACCAGATTCAATTATGCATCTTCACAGGCAAGTGATTTCAGTTTCTAATCATATTCCAGAGCGTCCACAGGACACAAAGTTGCAAATTGTAAGCATATGTCTTTAGAGAAGACAGTTTGTGTTTCAAAACTGAAGTAGCAGAAAAGACGACTAAGGACCTGCTCAGAAAGTATTTAAAGCAAAGTGAATGGGCAAGAAGTTTCCTTTAAGTAATGTCTATCGGTCAGGAGCAGGTCATTTAGCACGAAGCAGAACTTGTTAAAGGATATCAATTTTATTTTACTGTATTTACTTCTACTTTCCTAGGATCACTGATGAAAGTTCTATCTTGAGGACACATTTTTTTTTTCACTTAAAAAAAATTTCGTGAATCACAAACATGGCTCTTCGGAAGGCACTAAGTTGGAAGGTGGATAGTGCTGAGATGCAAAAATGCCAAGATCACTCCCCAGACCTGGGTCCAGGGGCTGCCCAGCTTCCCTCCAGACTCTTTGCCCCCAGAGGAGGCCAGCAACCCTGATCACCATCCTGATACATTCCACTCTGCTATCGGATGACAAACCCCAGCAGAAAGCCTCCTTTCTGGGTAAAAAGTTTACTTGGGGAAGCTCTTGGACAGCACATGTTTTTTCACCTAGATGGGGGACAATTGTCCCTTGATGCTCTGATGCTCTATCCACACAGTTTCAGTTCCTTCTCCCACCTGGAAATCACTGCTTCTGCTATTTCTTTAGCTTAGAAAGCTATCCTCCCCTTCCCTTCCACCTAGCTCACAACCTGCCCTGCCCACCCTCCCCACCCCCCTGCCCTGTCAGCTGCGAAGTCACTTCTTCTGGAAAGCCACCCCTGGC